GGCCATCATAATAGGCCATGTTGACAATTGTGTCCCACCTAGTAGAAGAGTGCAATTCCTTGGCTCCATGTAGAGAACCATGACCAGGAATGCTACCAAAATGTGCTTTAGCATGGTAGCTAGTATCTGGGTCTCCTGTTTCGATTTTTGGAGGAAACAAGATTGTTTTATTGTATATAGTGCTTGTGTACAAGAATGTTTTTATTGGCAGAATATCAGTGTAAGAGGGCTGATGGCAGAATATTGAGTACCACAACTAAAACCCAAAAAACTTGTTTCAACTTCCCCGGTAATTAATGACCCCTCGGATAAAGTTTCAGGTAAGATCTCTTATTGTGCGTTCATCCATTCATTTTATTTCAATTTAGTAATTAACTAACATAAAAAACTAACTTGTACTGTTACACATGCAAAAAAGTACCTGGAACATAAACATGAACACAATCTAAAATGTATGAACAGTAACTGGGTATTGTGGGTATGCACAAAGAAAATGGATGAAGCAATTTGGTCATTTCTAACATTTCGGTCTGCCTACCCTCACTGATTTGATCTGTCAGATCAAAATGATCATAAATGACACATTCATAACCTTTCTGTGACCAAACTGAAATTTCATAAAATAAACATTATCTGGTAAACATTTAAAAGAGAATAACTAATACAAACAGTCATAATTTATCTAATGTGATGCCCTTAAAAACAGTTAAAACTGTCACTGTCAAATTTCAATTTTGATAAAAATTTTAAATTCTAACCTTACGAACTTTACATCACCTGCAAACATTTTTGCACCCTGACATTTATGAAATGAATAATCTTAATTTAAACTTTTTTAAACTTACATATTAGTTTGTACAATTGCATATGCAAAAAAGTTGCATGGAGCATAAACACTATGTTGTAAATATCTTTTTTTGCAAGAGATTAATGTGTTTTCTAAATATATATTCAATAATTCTAAAATATATTCAAATTTTATAGTAAGGTAATGCTCAAAGAAAATGAACATTCTTGTTTCATTTGTTGGTCATTTTGTTCTGACAGATCAGTGATGATTGGTAGACCAAAATGATCAGAAAAGACCAAACTATAGCCTCAAACAGTTGGAACTAAAGGTTTCCTTCTTGATATAAAAATTTGCAAACCAATAAATAGAACACTGCCAGTATGGGGTCTCCCTTAGGTATGGCGGGGAGGCGGATGGGTTAAAAAAAAACAATAAAGGACTATGATAAAGAATTATTACTTATTAAACAAAAAAATATTTTGTGTGAATTTCAACATTTATTTCAGTCATTGAGAAAATGTTTTGGGGTGCTTTTGGGTTAACACCTTGTATAAAACACCCACACACTCACACAGACACTCTAAGACAGCAGAGCATTACATCCTGGGACTGGGGATGGTGGAATCGTTTGACAAAGGGATTTCTTCCTCCTGTTGAATCTCGCCTCCATAACACTTCAGAGTGGACTACAGGCTCACCCAAATTATATTTGGGCATGGTAGGATGGCAGCACATCAGCACAGATTTGCAATAAGCTCATCTCCCATTTTCAGACATGATCCAATGATGAAACCAACCATTGATTACCTCTTATGAGATTGTGAGCAGGCAGCTTTTCATGCAGCACATATTGCAGCGGGCCACCATCTGTGGCAGAATTGCCTCAACCGCAAATTACATCCTTTTTTATGGCATTTATATAAGATATCTTTTATTTTAACTTTAATGAGTGGAAGAATAGGCAAAAGTGTAAGGTCTTGGTTGAAATGAAAAAGCTAGTGTCACGAGCAGGATTCGAACCCATAACTTCAGCTATTACCTATCAAGGATGATAGGCAATAGCCAAAGGTTGTGGGTTCGAATCCCTCTTGTGACACTAGCTTTTTCATTTCAACCAAGTCTTTACGTAAAAGAATAATATAAAATGTTTATAAATGAGTGGAACAGATGGTATAAAATATATAACCCCCCCACACACACACATACACACCGCTGACCAAATGGCTAAGGCTGCCTCCCAAAATGAAGACTTGCTATTTGCATATTCAAAGGTCCTTCTATCTGCAGTTAAGCCAGCTTGGTTCCATGGGAAAAAATTTGGACTAACTCTATCCAGGGACGACTGGCCAGGGAGTTCTTTCCATTAGTCTCATGCCCGCTTACAGAAGAGCCACTTCCGAATGCACTACAGGCTTACTTAAATCCTGACAGGACATGGAAAATTGGCAGAGTATCACTTTTGGTTTAATATTATCCCTGACCCAGCTTGTTCTTGCAGTCGGGTGCCTCCTCAGCCTGTAGATCACCTCCTTCTGGAGTGCGATGGAGTGACGGCTGCTTGGCTTCCGTTGTTGCAACACATGGTGGTTTATGTTGGCCTCCCCAACAAACTCATGCTTTATGGAGACCGAAGTGTTACCATATTTTATGAAGTTCGGGAATAATGGTGTTCATGTAAAATTAATACATAATTTTAAATAATATTGAAGAGTTTAAAAGTTAATTTAAATGTATTAATCATTATTAGGAGGTAATACAATATTGAACAAAAAAAATTCCATTTTGTTACTTTATTTTTTTATTGTAAATATCGTTTGTAATTTTTAATTATGTTATTGTTATTATGTTTAATTCATGTAATACCTAATTAAGTGGGGCTCACACACACACACACACACACACACACACACACACACACACACACACACACACACACACACACACGATGATGTTCCTCAGCATACTTGTGTGTTGAAAATGTGTCAAAATTATGTTTGAAAAATATATTAACTTATTGAATTGGGTAAAACTGCAGTTTTCCTATCAGTGAGATTAGGCGGACCCATATGGATGGCCTTTGGAAGTAATTCATACAATATGAATGGTGATCAGTAATTGCTTTTTGCTTAAGATTATGAGTCTGTCATAAAAACCGTTTCATTCTTCACTGTTCAAATACCCTGAATATGACGACACTATGACTTAAGGTGCCTTTAGAGGTCGGGTATCCCTCCTTAGCAACCATATCGTCCCGCCCATAAAAGAAAACCGCTTTACAGTTTACAGCCTGAACAAATGTCATTGCTGTCGCTATCGTGTAAAACTGTAAATTATCACAAGGAAAATGACAGACAGGGTCGTTGCGTTGGTGGACATGGACTGTTTTTACTGTCAAGTAGAGACCCGGTTGAACCCCAGCCTTTTGGGCATCCCAATGGCAGTCGTGCAGTACAACCAGTGGAAGCAAGGAGGGTAAACATGACGGTTTTTTCTATTTACACAGTCTCTTCAGCTTTGTAATAAGATTCAATACCACTTTTTTCCCAAAAGAAAGATTTTCCTATAGTTTAAAGTGTACAGATTACTGCTGATATATGACACCTTGGCCCACTGCGACACTACTTTTATATACATTGGATTGAGCACTCTGCTGGGTGTCATTTTTCTAATTTCTTTAAACATTCTTATTGCCTTTTAACTTAAATTCTTGTTAACACTTATACAGACTAAAGCTGAATACAAAGGAAATATTCCAATGTCCCTGCTTATTGTGTATCTGTAGTTCTGCTAATTTTTTAAATGTTATATTTCAATGGGCAGTAGCTTGAACTTATATCTGAATTATTCTTGATCCATAACTGGTGATCAATGAATAGGAGCTTTTTTTTCTGTTTTTATGCTCGTGTGATTCTCTGCTCGTTTAAGTTTTGCAGTTATACTTTCTACAAATAGCAGCATATAATAGACTATGTAAATGCTTTTGCAAGTTGGCTTTTTAGTCAATTATTTCCTTCCACTGTACGGTCACATAACTTTTTTATATATTCGAATGAGACTGAATTCTAGGTGAAGTAAGATATTTTCCACTTAGTAGCCCAGTAATCACTCAGAATCACAGTATCCATAGACATCGTTTGTAGGCCTTTGCACCAACAGAGGACTTGTTACTCTGTTTCTTCTTCTTCTTGGTAATGTCTGCACAGGCTTGTTTCTACCACTCCGAGTCGATACATATGCCTCCGGAGTCTGCACTGTCCAGTTAGCAGTCCAACTATTATTCTAGTGATAGCACGTCCTAGGATTTACGAGTTCTGCTGTTAGTTTCTGCGATGGTTCTTTGATAAACCTTTTCACATGCCTTTGTCCTGGGCTACATTCCCATTGAGCAGAGGAATTATTAATTAATTCATTGTGTACTGGATCTGCGTTTTCGGCAGTTTGGTAAGCCACAAAAGGGTTCAGGGCCAATAGGTGTCCTCTTCAAACTTTCAAAGCCTATATAGGCTGAGATTCCTAATCCTGGGAGAGGAAAAGCCAGGACCTGAAGGATAGACACATGAGCCCTTGTAAAAGCTTTGAGGTGTGATAAAAAGCCTCAAGTTTAACAAGGAGCCCTAGATTTAAAAAAAAGAACAATAGACCAATATTGGTCACTGTGCGCAGGTCGTCAAAAGGCTGGCTCCTGTGTAATCTAATCTAACCTAAGGGGCAGTGCCCCTGATGTAGTCTTTATTTTATTTTTTAGCATACAGTTTTCCTGCTGGGGAGGAATGTTGTCAGGTGGGGTCATAGGTCTAGTAGGCAATGGTGGCCCTCTTCTTTTGACAAACTTCTCAGAAAGATTCCACCTGTGAACTCAGGGTGACAGATGTGTTACCTGGGGTGGCTTTTTAGGGACCTCGGAAGATGTGGACTCCGGGTCCTTGATGATGAGGCTTATGTGACCTGGAATGGATGGTGATGACAAGGCTGTGTATGACCTCGTATGGCAAGACCTCACCTCATGAGCTGGGATGGACTGGGATGGACTGGCTATTTACGAAGCCACACACAAAGTCAAAAGCCCTGGGTGAGCTAGCTGGCTAGGCCTCGGGGTGGTGCAACAATAGCAAATGTGATGTTTAATCATTGTAGGAATTTGTATTCCTAGGAATAAATAGTTTTTTAAATTTATACATGTAGTTATAGCTAACAATGTTTTTTGTTGCAGTATTATTGCATTGAGTTATGAGGCGAAAGACAAGGGTGTGACAAGGTCCATGAGGGGCGAGGAGGCCAAAGCCATTTGTCCCGAGATTGTGCTGGTCACCGTACCGACAATAAGGGACAAAGCAGATTTAACCAGGTTCTTACAAACTTGTACCTAGTTTACTATGGATGAAGAAAGGCATTTAAGTGAAGACATTTCTCCAGATATAGAGATGCAGGAAGGGAAGTTGTGTCTGTACTTTGCAAATTCAGCGACGTAGTTCAGAAAGCTAGTGTTGACGAGGCATATATTGATTTAACTGCACCCATCCAAAAGAGGATGAATGAGACTAACAATACTGGTATAAAGATTGAAGATCTGGCCAGTACGTTTATTGTTGGCTATTCAGATGATAATTCCAATGAGGAAGGTATAATTTTTGCATTGAAATATTAAAATACTGAAAACTTAGTACAAATTAATTACTGTCATTACAACGGTTTAGAAGAAAGGCAAAAAGGGACAAAAAGCTGGTTGCAAGATATTTTTGATAGTGATTTCCATCCTGAGGCTGCACAGCGACTTGCTTACGGGGCTGTCATTATTGAGGAATTAAGAAAAGCTGTGCTTGAAACGACTGGTTTTAAATGTTCAGCTGGAATTGCACATAATAAGGTTTATATATATTTTAGCTGAAAGAATTACTGCCAAAATATTTAAAACTTGTGAACTCTTAATTTTAGGTACTTGCTAAATTGGCATGTGGAATCCACAAGCCAAACCGTCAAACGGTTTTGCCTCAGGATTCAGTGGCAGGCTTGTTTGCCACTCTTCCCCTTAGGAAAGTCAGGAGCCTTGGTGGAAAATTCGGGGAAGAGATAGAAGAAAGTCTCGGCTGCAAATTTATGGGCGACCTACTTAAATATTCGGAGAAAGAGCTCAGAGACAGATTTGATGATAAAACCGGGTATTTATTCTCCTGTAGGTATATTTACATTTGTGACTTCCTCTACGGCAGTTTTCAGGTCGTGGCTTTACAACATGTCAAGGGGTTACGAGTACGAGCCGGTACAGTCACGGCTGGTTTCTAAGAGTATTGGCTGCTGTAAAAAGTTTCCAGGAAAAGTGGCGTTAAAGTCACGCAAGGACGTGGAACACTGGCTCAACAAACTGTCGGAAGAACTGCTTGAAAGACTTCTAGAAGATGAAGCAATGGTTTGAGACTGTTTCAATATTTTTTGTTCTATTTAAAACTTTTAATGTTACCATAATATTACTATATTTTGTTTATAACAAAAATGGTATACTTGTAAGAAATCTTTGATTTTTTCAAGAAAATATAAAATAATTAACTTTATTTCAGTATAAACGAAGGGCCACCCAGATAGTTGTATCAGTTGCCTTGGAAATTAATAAAAAAGATATTGTATCTTCAAAAACTCTTCTCTTGCCTTCATATAATTACGATAAAATTTTTTCCTTGGCAATGGGCTGTTTGAGGAAGTTCTGTACCGAAGACCCATCAAGTTTGGCATGGTTTGTTTATACAATCTTTCAACTTAATACATTTGAAAAATCTAATTTCTTTAATTTACAGGTCACCGCCAATTAAATATTTAGGTCTGTCATCAGGAAAGTTTAGTGATGTTGGTACAAAGACGATTAACAGCTTTTTTAAGCCCGTTGAGTGTAAAACACTTGGTGAAAAAACAACCTTACAAATTGATTTGCTCGATGATACTGGTAGCCCTTCTTTTTTTGAAAAGATATTTCTTAAAGACGTAGATTCAAAGGGGAAAGAAAGGCCTAAATTGAGTTTGTTGCCTTTTTTGGAAAAAGCTGAAGATGACGATTCTAAGCAAAATTGTGTAGAAAGCGACTTTATAGAACCAATAGAAAAGAATGAAGTTGAAAGCAAAACTAAAACAAACATTAAAACAATGTTTAAGAAAATTGAAGACAAAGAAAATCGTTTGAACATTATAAAAAATGATAAAGTTAAAGAAGAGATTTTAGATTCAATGGAAACTAAGTTGGTAAAAGATCCTCCAAAATCGACAATAAACTGTTTATTTTCGAAAACAGAAGAAAAGCCCCAGATAAAAAAAGCCAAGACGATCGAGTCTTTTTTAACAAATAATACCACTGCGCAATTTAATCCAGAGGAAATTTTCCCTGATTTGAATGCAATCGATGATGAGATACTATCAATGCTGCCGCCTAATTTTAGAAAAAAAGTGATCGAACTTAGAGATCAAAAGCGCAAAGAAGTAGCAGTTCACAATATTGATAAAGGCAAATTAAATGAATTCACTGATGTGAATAAGCCATCCACTTCTGGTTTCCAAGACGTGACAGAAAAAAATATTTGCAATGAAGAATTTTGTGATTCTGAAGAATCAAACCCTGAAATAGCAGTCCTTGTGGAATTAACTGAAGATATTGATTATAAAATATGTCAAGAATGTTTTAACAAAGTACCTGTGCTTGAATATGAAGAACACTGTGATTTTCATCTGGCAACAAAACTTCAGAAAGAGTTGAACACCTTTCCAGTGGTGCAAGATGTCAAACCAAAAATTCAGATGTCCAAGGCATCACAGCCTAAGAAACGAAAAAGCAGTGATTTGAAACAAGGCAAAACAAATAAAAAGGTTATGAAAAGCATCGATTGTTTTTTTAAAAAGTAATTTATGAAAAGATTTAAAATATTCAACTTCTGTGATAAATATGCATAATTATTATATTTTTTTATATAAATGTGAATGTTATATTGTATGTAACAAGCTACCGCAGTCACCTTAATCAATAAAAAATCATTAAATTTATTGATTTTTATTTATGTAAATTATTTTATATTTATTTAAAACATTATGTTTACTGTAAATGTGTAAATCAATTAAATGGTGATTGATAAGTTGAAAATGATTTGTAAATTGTGTAATTTCCAAACTCTTTCATACTTTTTATTTTTTTATTCAGCGTTTAAATCAGCAGAGGTATCAACCCCCCGGGGCGCCATTTTTTTGAAAAAATGCCCATTGTAAGTATGTCGGTTCCAGTGATGAGTACTGTGTCAACATCTAAACTGTTGCGACCATCGACACTCCCTCACTAGATAATTATATGTAACTAATAATTCCAATCTTCCTTCAGACCATGATTGTGGGAGAATTACTTAATTAGAACAAAGTAAAACAAATCTGCTTTGTAAAGAAAGAAAATAGAGGAAAAGAAAATTATTATGGGATTATTTTTGGTTCCGATTATACAGCAGATAAAATGCTGATAATAAATTAACTAACTGAAGAACATAATGATAAATTTACTGCTTGCTAATCTTAAGAAGAACAATTACCCTTGTTGCGTTTATATTTTTGTACAATCCTTATTATAAAATCATCTTCATTATCTTAAAATCCAAATTATTTAATAAAATTCTATTATCTAAATATTTGTTTACACAAAACTTATTTTGAAAAGAAAGCAGAAAAATGTAATAAAATGATATAGCTTATGGGAGTTTAAGTCACTGGGTATGTCTTCTCATCTTTTTTTAACAAGGATATTTCAACTAAGAGGTTATATGAACCCTTGAGTGCCAGAGTTAAAAAAAAAAAACAAAAAAAACTTTTATGTTGGGTTTGAATGCAGCACTGCTGGATTCGAACCTAGGACCTTTACCTTACAGAGAAGAGCGCTATGTGGATGCCTAAACCATTGGGGCCTCCGACACCCCTTCCTTTCAACTTCAGTGAGCTACTGTCTTACATAACCCCACGAGTTTGGTTAAAACCATTTTGGCCAAGAAATAAATCTCATATAACTCGCTTAACAATTCTTCCGCAAATGAAGGACGTTTCATTACAAAAATTGAAGCACAGTTGTCTTATTGGATACATGCAGTGCAAAAGGCACTTTAATCATCTATCATAAAAATTGAGGTTAAAACAATTCATTTTTCCCAGGTGTGCTTGTGTTTTTAGGGGGGAAAAATATTTGTAAATGTAAAAAAAACAGAATTTGGACCTGGGACCTTTACATTGACAAGCTGCCAAAACCAATGCAGGTATTGATACCCTTTTCAGACCAAAAGGCTTTTATTAATAAAGTTTCCATAAGTGGGAATAAAGTTATTTTAAATATAAAAAACTAAGGGTGTGCTCTAATTTGATTAATGAACAAATTCACTAAATCATAAATTTTCATTTGTATCATAAAACCAAGACAGCGAAGACACTAGAGTTAACCTGTGCAATCAGGCCCCCTGATGCTAAAAATGCAATAAAAAACCTGGTTAAAACGAAATGGCATCATTGGTGGGCCAATATCTCAGTATTGAGTACCCCATTGACCCTCCATTGGGTCAGTTATGGAGGAATATCAAGTGACCTACGCTGAGTGATATACAAATAATATATAATTTTGTACCAACAGAATTTGCCTTCATTGAAAGGAGAATTTTTTCAATGAAAACTTTTTTTTTTGTATACTTTTGTTTTGTGGTACTTCCATTTAGATTGTTAGATTTCTTCATGAGTGGTGTGATAAATCTACAGTTTGGTTATTTCCAATCATTTTGGTTTGACTATTTATGCTGGTTTGGTCTGTCAGTTTTGGCATTTTGCTATTTTCAATGGTTAATCAGGAAAATAAGTAAGGTGATGGCAAGAAAACTGAACATTACATTGATCACTTTTGAAAAACTCACATGGAAGTAGTGCGTGGTCTAGCCTCACCCTGCTTATTCCCTGACATATCAAAATGATCATAAACGACTGAAATTCTACCATTTAACTATTCTAGACATTCTTTAATTAAATTTCTTTACTAAGACTAAAAAAATATGGATAGTAGAGTAGGAAATGCAATGATTCAACTTTATCGTTAATTTTGTAATACTGCAGCCAGAAAAAAAGTTCATTCGAGTTCAATTTCATATTTTCGTATTTATATTGTTCTGATCGTCGTAATTTTATAGGATTTAACGACTTAATCAGAGAAGGAAATGTTCTTAGCGAGCAACAGAAGGGGGAAAAGTCCACCTCAGAAAGATTTTCAATCCCTATTCACAGTTATGTACGATTTTCGAATTTGTAATCTGAATGTTATGAGAAATTCCCCATCGGAATCTTCTGGTGGGAGGCCTAGAAAAAAGAGGGGCAGAAATGCAGAACGAAACAGTGCATGCCCATCCATCGACGGGACGTTAGTGATTCCTCCTCCGGTCTGAAGCAGTTAGCAGACGCGATTGACAACTGACAACTAAAAACTGACAACGGCGAATCGGCTGTCGAATTTTTTGACCAAACGCTGCCAGTAGGACAAACGCCCCTATCTTCACTTTCTTCGACCTTCCAAGGTTGGTATTTAGGCCGAAAAAAGTCAATTTGAATATTACGATATTGGTTTTTAGCAAACTATATTTTTGGGTCATTGTTTTACTTTATGTTATGGGTTATTAATTATTATAGTAATTATCAATTAAATTTTGTTCAAAATACACAAAATTGAAAACGCAATATCCACATTAAACATTGATTAAAGAAATAGCCGTTCTTGACAGTTATAGCCTTTTTATGACAAACTAATTCTTTTTAATTTAAAATTAATTCTCATCAAATTAAAACTTTTTAATTTAAAATTAAGTTTTTTTTTAACTTCAAATGAACTCTTTTCAATTTCAAAATAGCCTTTTTTAATTTCAAAATTAACTCTTACTTTAATACGCCAAAATCTAATAGATGTTAAAAAATGTAAGTACTTAAGGTAAAATTCCTTCATTGGAAAAAAATTAAATATAAAAAAATTGGGCTTTTGGAAGACTATATTAAAATTAAAAATTATACAAAATTATCAAAACAAACAATTCTTCTTTTTGATTTCTTAATATAAAATAACTGGGTTCTTACAATTAAATTTAAAAAAGAATAATTTGATTTTACATTTAATTTAATTGTAATTAATTATCATACGATTAAAAAAGTTCTCAATTATAAAGGAATTTTTCTTTACACGATAACACAGATTTCGTACCACCTCCTAAGTTTATTAATGTTTAAAAGAAAAGGCTGATTTGAAAATAGAAAGGGTTAATTTGAAGTTTAAAAAGTGTCAATTTGTCGTGAAAAAAGTCAATTTTAAATTAAAACACGTTAATTTGGCGGAAAAAAGCTACCATGTAAATTCACCAAGTCAGTATTTTTTGATTCAAAATTTTGCCTAAAGTTCGATGCAAGTTTACATTACATGCTTATATTTCGTACCACCTCCTAATTTTTCTAATGCTTTAAATAAGGGGTTAATTTGAAATTAAAAATTGTTAATTTGACGGAAACGAAAGATTATTTGAAATTAAAAAGTGTCAATTTGTCGTGAAAAATAGTCAATTTCAAATTAAAACACGTTAATTTGGCGGAAAAAATCTACCATGTAAATTCACCACGTCAGTATTTTTTTATTCAAAATTTTGCCTAAAGTTCGATGCAAATTAACTTTACATGCTTATATTTCGTACCGCCTCCTAATTTTTCTAACGCTTTAAATAAGGGGATGATTTGAAATTAAAAATTGTTAATTTGACGGAAACGAAAGATTATTTGAAATTAAAGTGTCAATTTGACGTGAAAAAAAGTCAATTTCGAATTAAAATGCGTTAATTTGACGGAAAAAACATACCATGTAAATTCACCACGTCAATTTTTTTATGCAAAATTTTGCCTAAAGTTCGATGGATGTTTACTTTACGTGCTTATATTTCGTACCACCTCCTAATTTTTCTAATGCTTTAAATAAGGGGATGATTTGAAATTAAAAATTGTTAATTTGACAGAAATGAAAGTTAATTTGAAATTAAAAAGTGTCAATTTGACGTGAAAAAGGTCAATTGCGAATTAAAAAGCGCTAATTTGAGAAAAAAGCTGCATGCCATGTAAATCTATAGCAACATTTTTTTTTTTAAATGATTTTTGGCTAAAGCTGGAAGAAATTTTATTTTAAATGATTTCGTACCAACTCCTAATTTTTTAACGCTTTAAATAAGGGTTAATTTGAAATCAAAAATTGTCAATTTGAATGAAACAACAGTTAATTTGAAATTAAAAAGTTAATTTGGCGCGAAAAAGCGGTTAATTTTAAATTTAATAAGTATTTAGTACTCGAAATCCGTACAACAGCTGCCTAAAACTTTGAGTAAAACTATCATTTCCAAAAAAATAACTATATATCATGACAATTCATCTCACCAATTATTTTTTTGCATCCAGATTTGGCCAAAACTCCATTAAAAATTTCATACCTTTTAGAAAATGGTTCGTATAATCAAATAATAAAAAAAGTATAAGTATTATTTTTATAACATTTTTGTGTGTTTTTTTAAATGATATATTTTTTATTTCGTTTTATTTTAAGTTATTTTAAAAAACTTTTGGATTATATTATTTGAAAGTAAGGTTTGGTTTTCTCTGGCTCCCATTTTTCATAAACACCATTTGAATTGATCTTAAATTGATTCTTGTTTATTAAAAAAATTAAATATATAAACGACATGAGTAATGAAATTTTATTGAATTGATAATTTCTGCCTTGAAAAATCGTTAATTCGGAATTGTCAAAATGTCTTCAACCGATGGCTGTAATCAATAACAATTTTTTATGTTGTGTTAGGACTAAACTCGTTAGGATTTTTCAAGGCAGAACAAACAATCATCGTGTGGTGAAATTTCGGACAAAAGTCAACCAATTGATTAATTTAATACTTCGATCTTTCTAATTAAAGTAAAATTATTACTGTTGTGTCTAACATAACTGAAAAT